CTATTCCTCCCTTCTAGCGTGCCCACTTCTCCCTACATCTTAGTGTCGTCTGAATTTGAACAGGGTGCTTTTTACCCCCTCGTCCAAGTCACTGATGAAGATGTTGAACAGTGCGGGCCCAAGGACCGAGCCCTGGGGGACCTCAATGCCCACATCCCTCCAGGTCAAAAATGACCCTTCCACCACCACTCTCTGGGTGCAGCCCTCCAGCCAACTAGTAACCCATTTGACTGTGTTGGTGTTGATGCCACAGTCTCCTAGTTTTTTTAATGAAAACGGGGCGAGAGACAGTGTTGAAGGCCTTCCTAAAGTCCAGAAAGACCACATCCACTGCTACACCTGCATCTTAAGGATTTTGTGACCTGGTCATAGAAGGCCACCCCTGCGCTTGGGGCAGGCAGTGGCGGTACTGGGAGTGGGGGTTGGAGGGGCTACAATGAATTTTGGGGTGGCTGCAGCCCCCCTGCCACATGGCCCCCTCCCAATGCTACCAATGCCCGCCCCAAGCGCAGCATGGCTCAGTAGCCCCTACCAGGAAGAGCTCGACACGGCCCCAGCCCCAAGCAGCAGTCTACCCCGCCCCATGTAGATATGGGGGCACACACCCCCCATGCCTCCCAGGGTGCATGTAGCAGCAGGAGCTGCGCCCCTCTGGACGAACCGCTTGCAGCTCAGTCCTGCACCTTGCTGCAGCTATGCAGGACCTGCCCCAGCCCCAGCCCCACTCCCTTCATCACTGCTGCCTGCACACCCCTCCCCACCCTTGTTGCAGCCGGAAGCCCGTGGCCAGGCTGCCTTGTGGCCCTACTGTGTTTGGGAGTGGGCGCTGAGTCCCATTAGCCCTTCCTTCCTTCGCCTATAGGCAGAGAGGGGATTGCAAGATAAAGGTTTGCAAACTAGCCAGAGTACATATAGTCGTAGAAGAGCAGCTGTATAGGACTGCAGAGGTGGATCAGCTGCTTGCTACAGCTTTTACTTCAAAGCATACTGCATTTTTGATCAGCCATTAATGACCACAGCAGTGCTCCAGCTGATCAGAAAAGTGGCTTATTCTTAATTTGGCAACTTGATGCAAGCAAAGTGGGATGTAGAACATACCAATACAAAAAATCCAGGATTTACTATAACTTAAAAATTTCACGTCTGCGAATTGAATGATGTCTCCAGTAAAAGAAGAAATAAATGTCTTATGTTTATATGATGGATTATCATTGTTTGAATATAAAGTTGAATATTTTACCATACAATTCAGGGCATCTGGTTTTAAGTTATCCAGAAGACTGAATGGCAGTACAACTTTTGACATCTATTTTATTGTTCTGAAGCCTGATACATCTAAAGTAATTTAATACAGTGTTAAGGAGCACCTGGAGGAAAACCAAACCTAGAAGCATGCATTAAAAAGTAGGTTGTCTTATTAATGAAATATTAAAAATAATAAAAACAAGACCCCTTATTATTTTTGTCCATAATCATGTACATTTAAGAGTGTGTAGCCATATGTATAAATATTGTATGACGAACAGTAGAAACCTCTCTTGCACCCCCCCCCGAAGAATAACCCTCTCTTGCAATGCCAGAAATGTAAAAGGCACCATAAGAGGATGTTCAGAAAGCTCAAATCATGTCAGTATCTTTATTTTAAAGTAAACTAGGACAATTGCTCTCTTGACTTTAAAAAAAAACTCCAACCTATTTAAGCACCTGCAAAGTATCTTTAGAAACATGTAAACCTTGGATTGTTTCCAGGAGTATTGGGTGTAAACACAAGGCAAGTATAAAAACCTACAGACTTGTTAGAATACAAATGCTACCCCATGAAAAAGCTGTAGTTAGAAAAATATAAAAAATATACTAGCTTCATTATTAGACCTTAGACATCTCATACTACATGTTCATTATAGCAGCCACTTCCAAGCAATGAGCCCAGCGCCAGGTTTGACTTGGGGACAAATTACTACATCAAGGGCTATTTCTTTAATTATTTAACCCCCACGTTTTGACCCTTTAACAAATTATTTTTACTTTGAGTTTCTTTTGAGTAATAGTAGTACAAATGGAAGATGCCAAATTGAGTGTGGCCACATCTATACAAGATGCTGACTGCACAGTAGCCTGATACTACTCTACAGTAGCACTGCATAGTAAAAACCACGATCTGATACTACTATGCAGTCATATTAGGCTACTGAGCAGCAGCACCACAAAAAAGGCGTTTGTCAGCCCTACCACACAGTAACTCAGCTTACTGAGTGTTTATTTAGTACTTGTTTATACAAATCCTAAATAAATGTGTAGTAACTACTGCGCAGTAGCAACTCATGTAGATGCAACCACTGGTGATTAATGAAGCTGCCAATTAATTCTACATGCATACTTCTGATCTTTGTATAGTCCCCAACTGCAGTGTATGCTAATACTATACTAATAGATGAATTCCTGCTGCAAGAGAGATGTGGCCTGTACTTGTCTTTATCCAGTTTAGTATTTTAAGGATAAAGCATGTGCCTATGTGTATGTTCATTAGCCACTGCTCTAGGAAATCTAAGTCAGCTCAAGGACATGGGTGACTTCAATACTATAATATGCTGATCCTGGTGTAAACTCTTAACAAAGTAAGGTCAGTAAACATAAGAATTCCAACTGACTCCTTAAGAATATGATTCCAATTAAGTAAAAAAGATGCTGTTGCTAATGACGGCTCTTTGTAAAATACCCTGACCAAAACTGACAAAATTATTTAGTATTTCCAGGGCTGATGATGCAAGCTGCATTCAAGTAACACTTTTTATTGAGCTATGGAATTTTTTATGTGGGCTAACCTAAGGGGCCAAAAATTTACAACTCTCCCTGAAGGGCAGACTGTTTTATTCTTAAAAAGAATGAGAAGGGCAGCAGAGGTGCAATATTTCTCCATCAGACTGTCTGCCCTAAAGGACCCATCTTGCAAGCTGACACTATCCATGTCTTCATGCCCATTTAGCCAACTTTCACTTTTACTGCCAAGGAGGACATACGTAGTATTTTACAATCTCTCCAATTTAGTTTCTTTTAGGTTGCCAGCATTTGTCTCATGGCACTATCTTTCAGTTCTCATGGAGCTGGTTTGGATTCAAGCCAGGAACAACATCAGGAACTTCTCTCTCCCATAAATCATCCCCTAATCTTCAAGATCCAAGCAGGTATTCTTCCAAAGGTGATGTGGGGACACATATTATGACAGTAAGGTTTCTGTGCTAGACCCTATTATCTTAAATGGCCTAAAAATCTTCAGATTTGCTTTGAAGTCGTTTGCTTACAGTATTTCACATACCCCATTTGTGTACATAACAGGAAAGCCATTGGCTTACTTATTTTCTGAATAAAATTATTGGATGCAATCATTCTCCTATGATACACTACTCTAACCTGAATAGTATGTAGAATAATTTGTTTCATATCTCATGAACTATGGAGTGTTCCCTCTGCCTATGTTCTACTCAAATTAGGTTGTCACGGCAGTTTTTATTCAATTATGTACAGTTCAAATGTAGAAGAATTTAGTTACACAAGATCTGCCACAACTTTTTTTTTTAAATGAGCACTCTAACAGTTGTGAGCTCAGTCAGATTTGGGTAATACATCATACTGAATGAATGACCAAAAAAAAAAAATCTCCAGCCACACCTGTAACTAAATTTTAGTATTTTTTCTGATAAAGTTTGAAATGGATATCAGTGACCAGATAACTGCTATATCTGCATTTCAGCTTTGAAGAAGCTGTTTTCATACTTCCTTCCCCAACCAAATGGGCCAGAAGTTTCCATCAACATAACTTCCAAACAAGGCACAATATTATTTACTAGACTCTTCTCCTCCCCTTTTTACATTCCCTTCCTCCCTACGCCTACCACCAAGAAACTTAAGTGTTAGTGTGACAGTATGTTCCACACCAGGTATTACATTTAATTGTTCAGGAAACAGTAGTAGTTTTATCCCATAGATGGGCTCTAGCTATTGTGAACTCAGTTTAGATGAATAGCTCATTTTCAGCACATCTTTGTTCATTTTCTGCATTTGGTTTTTGGGGGGTGGTGGTGGGGAAATCAGAATGTCTTTCATGCATATTCTTCCAGAAACTTTATATGGAAGTCTTTCACTTTCTCCAGCAGAATCTTCAGTTTCTCTATGGGAGGGAGAATAGTCATTCTGGAAAAGAGGAGAAACACTGTCATTCACTTTACAATATAAAACAAACAAACAAACAAACTCCAACACAACACTCTTAAAAAAAAAGAAACCAAGCCATACACATTCACTTAAAGAGCCTCTCTTAGAGAGTGGGAGGGTATAGTATCTTCTTGCAACCTGTTTTTAAGACATTTTCTTACACTCTGCATGCATATTATCGTCAGAGTTGCTGTATTTAGATCACTGCTTTTGTGTGGCTAATGTACTAGCTACCAGACTTTGTTTTTAGAAATGATGTAGCAAACCCTCAGCAAGTCACCTGTTTCTAATTCTTATATCCCGTGACATCATGTTCTGAAAAGAGATGATATATAATTGCATTGTTGGATACTGTTCTATATCAAGCTGTGTTAACTCACACGTAACTTTATGCATATTTTTTAACTGCCAACTCTGAAAGCTTTCATAGAGGAATCCAGTCCAACAATCCAGAAAATCAAGCTGAATTTTTTTCTACCTCATGCATCCTCACTATTAGTAAGACATTTTACTGGGTGTTTGGTTGCTGCTACATACTGAACAAAGGCTTTTAGAGAACTATCTACAATGACTCCAAGATCTCTTTCCTGAGTCATAACAGCTAATTCAGTCCAGCACTGTATATATATAGTTAAGGTCATCATTTCCACCCCCTATATGGGCATTACTTTTTACTTGTCAGCACTGAAGTTCTTCTGCCACTTTTTTGCCCACTCAGTTTTGAGAAATCCTTCTGCAATATGACTACAAAGAATGATTTAGTATCTTCACACCCTCTATGAAAATGCTGATCAAAGCCAGTCCCAGTATAGATCCCTAAGGGACCCTACTATTGTTCTTTCTTCATTCTGAAAACACCATTTAGCCTTACCCTATTTCCCATCTTTTAATCAGCTTTTGATTTATAAATGGATCTTCTCTCCAATCCCACAGTAACTGTGTTTCTTCTAACAGCCCTTGGTGACGGACTTTGTAAAAGATTTTTGAAAATCCAAATCTATTGGCAAAACAGATTTCCCTTTACAAAAGACTTGCACTACTGAGAGGTGAACTGATAGGAGAATTAAGATCTGAAATTAGATTTAGTTAACAGTTTGTTTTGAAGTTGCATGAGCCAAAATATAACCCAGTTCTCAGTGGTTGTATTGTCTCCGAATTGCTAACAAAAGAGCTGGATTTTGCAGTGCTCCCTCATGTTAAGAGGTTAATTACACAAGATGTTCAAAGCAAATGCATTTAGATGGCCAACAGGGCTACACGTGCATTTAGGTGCTCAATGTGAAGAAGGGTGGAACAATTCTTCCCTCACCTCCAATTCATTTCAGTTCAGTGAGAGGATATTATTCAATATATGTAGGCACCAAATCTTCTGAAAAAGGTGGTGCAATTTTCATAGTCACTTTTCAGGATGCAGCTACGCTGACTCACTGCTTTAAAGTAGACCAAAGCTTCAATAGAATTTCTTTTACAAGACCACAATTCTACACAATCAGTATTTTCTGATTTCTTTGCAACTTAACAGTTGGATAGGCATCTGGCTGGGCGTCATCTGACCCCAGCACTCTTTCCTGCCTAGGCAGGGGGTTGGACTCAATGATCTGTCGAGGTCCCTTCTGACCCTAGCATCTGTGAATCTATGAGTTTCTTAGGTGAACTCAAATGCACAAAACAGAACAATGACTGTTCTGTAAATGTTGTAAATATGACTGAATTGAAGAAAAACTTTCCAGACCTGAATAGCAAGTAACAAACTAGTCCTACAGCTACAGCTATAATTAGCTACACACAGAATGTCCAGGGGAAAGAGAAAGCAGGTCTGAACTGCTAAGGGGAAAGACAGCAGGTTTAAGAGCAGTGTGAATTAGGCTAAATTTGTTTCCATGGCTTGCCTTTAACAGCCCTCACAGTTTTATTTTGTTAGGAAAGAGAAATCCATGATTTTAATCACAAAATCTTTATAACATACAATAAGTTACAAAAAAAAGATACTGCACCTGAAATGGTAACTTCCTTCTCTTTGGCCAAACCCACTACCTGGTACGACACAGATACCAGTTTCTTCCAGAAGTTTCATGCAGTAGAACATGTCAGGAGCCATTTTATTACCCTAAGGAATAGACTGGAGTTAGTTTTTCTTTTCCAGATGACAAATCAAAATGCACAAAACATGGAATTTTATGTTTTTCTCTTTCTTTTTGAAGCTCTCTTATTTTCTGACCTCTCATATTTTCTGTACCAAATGGAAGGAGAGCAACTCTCACTGTTGGTGAAATGCATGCAAGCTCTCAGTTGTGTCTGCCCAATGGAACAGAATGAACAGAACAGCCACTTCAAAAAGCCCAGTTCTCCCCATTTCTACCCACATTTCTTGCTTGGCTGTGACTTCGTATTTTCTGGCACAGACTTTTATTGGCACTCAAAAATCACATTTCACTAAAAATTGTCAGATTAAAAAAGGTATAAAGAGTCCTTGAGTAATTGCTGCATCCCTTTTAATACTTCTCAGACAAACATTTGAACTGGATTTTCCTAAATCATACATGTTGATTAGAAAGTCACCTGAATAACCACCAAAAGTTCTTCTATTTTAATCAAATCATTATGCCCATGCTATATGCATGGTCAAAAGGCATTACTTCAATAAAAAAACAAACCAAGCATCCCATTTTTCTCTCAGTTACACAGACATAACTCACTGAAAGTAATAAAAACTGCATTTGTGTAACAGAGGTTAAATGGGCCTCAGTTACAAACCAGTTCTCTTGTTTATTAGCAATACACTGCCTTTATAGCTGCACAGTCCTTTTCTCCTCCTTCATATAAAAATCCATCTATGAGAAGAGCAGCAACAAATCTGGGAAAGTTAGATTAGAATGAAGGACGAATGACTGACCTTTGCTGCCTCAATAGCTTTGGAAGGAATAAAGATCCTTGGGAAAGCATACATAGCTCCCTGAAGTGGATTGCAGTGAATTCCTGGTACTTGATTAAACAAGTCTTCTGTTAGCTTAGCTTTTTTGGCAAGATTGTTTAATACAGACTCCTTTTCCTGGAAAAAGGAATAGGAGGGAATAAGGACAGAGAAAAGCTAAACTGCTCATTAAATGGAAAAAATAGTGAAATGAAAAAATAAATGAAAAAATAGGCTGTTAGGCTGGTTCAGTAATGTTATAGTTGGTAAAACAAAAGTGATTCTTTCCTACTAACTGGAAGTCAAGCAAGATATAGTCAAAATTAGCAATGAAAATAATAAACTTCAATGGACCAAAAAACCTAAACTGGTTTTAGGATGGAATTGGACATGATTAACTGTAATAACAGAAAACTGGAATTCATACCTGGGACATCCTTTCACATTGTGTGTTCCTAAGTGACATTGATCATATTGAACAGTCCTACATTGGTCAACCTAAATGTCCTCTTAAATATCAGATCCATACTGTTCTTGCAGCTAGGGTGCCGCACCCAACACAACAAACCCAAAGGTTTAAAATTATATTGGGACGAATGAGTTTTGTGACTTGTCTTTTGTTTTTAATCACAGAAGTGATTAAATTACCTTTACAAAGGTAATTTTAGGACCTTTTCTGCAGATACGTGTTATATGATCAAGTGGTCCAAGTCTATAAAACAAGGTATCTGGGATTCTGTGGTCAAAAAGTTCTGCAAGTGCAATCATCTTTGAGTTTGAGGACAATAGCCTTGAAATGCCTAGAATTCAAAGTGGGGGCTCCCACTGAGCAAATGAGGCAAAACAGAAGTTTACAGGGAGAAAGTATAATTTTAAAGAAAATGCAGATTTCAGTGTACCATCAGTCTTGAAGTTCCTCTGTTTATCCACAAAGTGCATATAGCTCAAGCAGCAGGTGAGCCTTTCTGCACTGTATTTTCAATACATGTCCAGTCTGATCTGAGAGGACAAATTCTACTCCAGCCTCTGTAGCCCCAGCAGAGAAGCCAAAGACGTAAGGGCTAACAGCAAGCATGCTAACCAAGGCTTTTGCAATGTGAACATTTGTCCCAGCTAAGCAGGGCTGCAAGCAATTCCTTCACCAACAGCCACAGAACAGCAATCTTTAGCTGACAGTGACTTCTGGTCACCATTAACCTGGGCTGGTGACCTTCAGGCAAAATTTCTCATGTCTAATTACCAGAATTTGAACGGGCTAGTGTTCCTATCAAGATCTAGTTATGAGATAGGAAGCTATCTTTAATAAAAGAAAAAAAAGAAAATATTCTTTCTGAAGAGCAATTCCTGTCTCTTACGATAGATACAACTTTGCATTTAAGACGAGAACGCTGCTTTTTAAATAATGGGCCACATCTATCCCTTGTCACGCCACTGAGTCAACAAAGTTCCAGCAGAGTTGTACATGACAGAGTATTTCTACAAAAAAAAAAGTAACTATGATTTCTTACAATATGCATTTTGTAATTCATTACAGAGAGGCACCATATGTATATTAATTTATCATATGTATATTCATTTGTAAAAGCTACAACATCATTTGGTAGTTTCTTTTTCCTATAGTGTTTTTTACCAGAAGCTAGTCTCATTAAGTAGTTGTTCTTACCTACTATGCAAAACTATAAGAGAAAAGTTATATATTATACGTAGCAGCTGAACTCAAGCTAGGCAAGTGTGATAGAGGTGCTAGGGCTTCAAACAAAAATCTAGGATATATAATTGTACTAATATTAACAGTAGTTTAAATTAAACTCATAAGTTCTGTGAGCAAGCGTTACTACAGGACTGTACAAAGAAAGGTGGTGGCATCCTTTGAAGGATGTGAGTTGACAGAGGGTTAGAAAACACACATCAGAACAAATACACTACAGCTGACCTTGATGAACTGTACGTAGGATTCTTCTTCAGGTACTGGAGGATTCACTACAATATCCATAGCTGCCTGTCCAGATACTGGAGGGCAGAGACGAACGGAGAGAAGCTTAACAAGCTGTCCTTTGATCTCTGGATGCAAGTTAATCACTTCCATATAACCTCCTCGGTAGCCGCACCTGAGAATAGAGTGGACGTATGGAAAAAAAAAATAGTGAATACCCTTGAAGGTATTATTTTTGAAAAAGCTATGAAAATAACCCCCCAAAGTAGAGGGAGAGCAAGTATTCAGCTGAACACTAGATCATGAACACTCTGCTTTATGCCAATACAATTAACATACACATTTA